GGCGGAGGGCGAAAGGCGGGGCCAGAAGGAGGGGAGGGCGGAGGGCGGGGCCAGAAGGAGGGGAGGGCGAAGGGCGGGGCCAGAAGGAGGGAGGGCGGAGGAGCGGGCCAGGAGGAGCGAGCGAAGGAGCGGGTGAGGAAGAGGGTGTAGGAGATGGAAGGGAGGGGATGGAACGCGATGGAACGCGACGATGGTTGAAGTTGAGAACCAAGAGGCGCGTAGGCGGACATTGAAATTGCATTTATATAACGAATGTGATCGGACTTTAAATCCTAGTGAAGATCGCTTATTAGTATTACATTCACTATAGTTCAGGCTGTAGAGAGTAGTATTATATCAACCATAGGACTAAGAAAGCAATAGCTAAGAGATAATGATCAGTATTTGAAGGTGTTCTCGCGTCTCATGATCGAATTGACATAGATACATCTACGGGAGTGAGGTAATAAAGAATAATCGCGGATTTTATGCAAAGAGTGGCGACGACCTTAGAGTTAGCTCGACGCTGAATATACGCTTACCATAACGAATGTAACGGGCAAGTATAATGAACCAACGCAGGCTGGCAAGTCTAATCAATCATATTTCAATCTCGACTGTAATACGGATGAGCAAAAATTCGAATATGCAAATGTAGCAAGAAATATGATGAGTAGTGATACGAAGACGTCAGTTCGAGCCTCGGAGGCGACGTTCGCCCTCCTTTTTCCCCTTCACCGTAGTTCCCTTGGCTTTAATCCCTGCCATTGTTGCGTCAGCTTGGGGATCCATGTCCTCCAGCCTGCCAGCATTGGTTCCATTGCGAGTAGTCTGAGTAGAAATGTTAGGTAGTGTGACAGTCAACTACATATGAACTCACGCGCACCGTCCCTCGAGCTCGAGGGGTTCGATGAGTAGAAATAGAGTCGGAGGGGGTACCTTTACCCTGATTCTTTGACGTGTGACCGGCCGAAATGCTGTCTTCACAAACGACGCCCGCCGCCCTCACGCTGACGGAGGAGTTCTTGTTGTCCTTAGCCTGAATATCCAAGTATGCGGACGCCCTCTGCAGGCCGCCAGCTGCATCTTGTGTCCGATCTTTCGAAATAGAATTAGGAACTGATACGACAGTAATAAAGAACACATCTCCTCACCTTGCACGTAAGCAGTGGGAATAGATTCCTCAGCCTGCTCAGCATACTCAGCCTTGTCCTCCCCGTCCCCGCCTTCCGAGTCGTCCTCATCCTCGTCCTCGTCTTCGTCCTCCTCGTTCTGCTGTTCAACGTCGGCAGCGTTGTCCGGGTGCTCGAGAGAGCTGGTCTGTGGATCCAGTTCCATACGACGAACTTGCTTGGCAAGCGCCGAGAGCGAGTGAGAACCGTTAGTAGAGGACGCTCCCGCCGGAGGGGAAGACTCAGAGTTGGCGGGTGGCTTGGGTGCGTAGTACTGTTCGAGACCAGCCATCAGCTCTTCGTCTTCGTCCTTCTCCTGATCGACAGGCGCCGGAAGTTCCTTCAAGACGGGGTGGTCGGACGATGAGGGCGGAATACCAAGAACTTCGTAGTTGAAGTACTCCTGGACCTTGAAGGTCCATACAGCATTACCTGTAAATAGAAGCTTCAAAATGTAGTCCCTGTCGTCACCGTACGGGATGCCAGAGGGCAGGCCGGGGTTTACATAGGTTGGGTCGTTTGATAGGAGGTAGCGTATCTTTGAAATGCATTTAGATCAACTCAAGTATAAAACAAATATGTCCACTCACATCAGCCGTGGAGCTTGCAATCATTGACGGGTCTATGACCGTGAGCTGGGTTCCTTTTGCTTTCGAGCGAGGCCGACGCATGCGGCGGAGCTTGAGGCCTGTCGGACCGAAGAACTTTACAATCATTGCCTAGCGCTATGAATTAGTGAAAGTTGAATAAGAGACATACAATCTGACTGACCCTAACGAGTACTTCGGACATAAGAAATTCCTGCGGGAGCGGACGATCTGGATTGGCGTACAAGACGGGCGCGTGTCGATCGTACTTGGGGGAATCGACCTTCTTCTTGAGGAGGCCCAATTTCCTCTCCGCTGTAAGAGGTCCGAAAATGCTCAGTTCCGCGGCACGCAGAGTGGTAGTGTAGAGACGACGCCCAGCGTCAACAGCTTGGGTAAACTAAGGAGCCGGAGAACAATGAGACACTGTACGAGATAGAATGATGAGCTTACCGTAGTGGCGAACGTCTCCTCCTGCTCTATGAGATCTCCCATCTCTTCGATGCCCATGAACCGATAAACATTGGCCATGTTCGCTTGGGCCATCGCCTTCGCGTCCTCGAAGCGGGAAGGATCAGCAGGATCGATGCTCCTTGCAAGAGGTGACAGCGGGAAGGTGCCCTCGGCGACCCAAGGACGGATGCACTTGGAGAAACCGCCGCCCTTGCTCTTGAACTTACTTTCGAACATCATAGACTGGAGTGAGAGGCCCCTATCGAAGCTTTTCTTCTTGTCCTTGGGTAGCAGCGCGTATAAGACGCGGACCTGGTCTTTGACGGCGCAGTATGCGTCGAAAAGGGCGCCATGTTCCTCCTGAGTTTCGTGCAGAGCCTGAAGAAAATAAATACCATATGAGCACTCGATAACAGGACCTAGATAAGTTATATGGACGACTCACTTTACGAACTTGAACCAGAGGCGCGGCCTCCGAGAGTTGGGCTACAGCATGCAGAGAGCGCGTAAAGCGACCATCGTCGTCCATAGAGATGCCGCCAATCTTGGAGGGGAACTCCTGATCGTCGTCGTCATCGCGGGCAGCCATAGATTTCTAAAGACGTGTAGTGAACGAAGTCGGTATGAAGACGAGATGAGGAAAAGGCTGAGACTGCTAAGGGTCTACTGATGGAATGGCTTACCTTATATACAAGTCAGTGTGATGTCGCTGACGTGTAGAGCAGTTGACGAACATAAACGATTCATAGCCAGAGCCAGAGTGAGCGTTCCGTGGCCGCCATGAGACGAATCAAAGCGCCCGCAAGAATTGCCTCGTTAACACGGAAATAACCTAGTGATTCATTAGACGCACCTCGTGTTTTGACCTATACAATCCACGACTGTTCTGCCTTACGATCAGGCTGTGATATGAGGAAATTAGTAAAGATATGATAACGTGTGAAGAAGTGACTTACAAGACGTTCTCGTGTTGGTGGACAGGTTTAGAGCCTTGGACTCGAAACGAGGCTTTCATTGAGTCGGATCTGTTTACGTCAACATGTGACAGGGCCTTCAAAGCCACTGCCTTGCTCACGATAGCTTGCATGTTCCGGTCGCCAGCGAAGCGGTGAACTTGGGAATGCCAAGTTCGAAGAGCCGCATGCCATATTAGCGATAGACTGCTTTGAGGTCTGATGTAATAACACTCACCAATAGATCAATGAATGTGAATATAAAGGCGGGATATGAACGGTGTCGTCTTAATCTGTCTTAATCTATCAGCTTTGTGTGCAGTATGTCCAGGTGTATATTTACGTACAAGTGCAATGGCAAACAATCCGGAGCGGGAGCAACCGGGAATGCAAGTTTGCCAACTAGTTAAGGCAGACGAAATGAAAGAAACGCACCTGACAGAATAGATCAGCTGAAGGCAAAGGGCATGCGGGTGACAATGTAAAGCGAAAGGGCGAGTTTTGACGGACCGGTTCGGGATGACCACTAGAAACGTGTAGTATTAACACACTTCTTCGTCAAATGACATGAGAAATCGGCTTGGAACGCACCTGGACTACGGAGAATTGTAATAGCTAGAAGAGTGAATTGAGGAACAGCAAGATTGCTGGTAATGCTATGAAACGAGCATGAAGTGCGAGGGAAGAAGGGGAAGCAGACACAGAACTTGTGACATCGAGTGATTCCGCCTCAGCGAGACCATTCCTTCATTCGAAGGAACATATCTCCATCGATATGTGTCATAACAAAAAACTCGGAATGGTCCGCTGACTTGAAGTCAGGAGCGAGCAGTGCCCCGCGGATAATCGAACCCAGCGGGATGATAATAGAGGAAGCCCGAGGAGTAGCCTTCACACGGACGAGGCCGAGGTCCTTGTCCACCCTTCTCGCTAGTCCCGGAAGGCCCGCCGTGTAAGGCTGGACAAGCGCCAATGAGAGGGGCTCGTCGACACCGGCGAGGTGAATCTGAAAAGCAAAGACGAGACGCACGAAGGCCTCGCTGGTGTCCGATACTTGCACCAAGGCGCAATCATAGCGAGGGTGATGGTGAAACTTGGGGTGACAGTGTAGATAGTCCGTCGTCTGTAGCTAGGTCTCTTTCGACTCGTAATTGACCTTGATGAAGCGGAACTCCTGAAGCTTCTCGATACATCAGTCCTGTGTTACAGCAATGCCAGATGGATTATAGCCTATGCATACCTGATAGCTGCGACCGAGCCTCTGCCACGAAACCAGCTGGGCCCTGTATCCCTCCATCCCCTCGAGATTTGGCAGAGTCTCATTGACGAACCTCTCGAGTACGTTGTGGAAATCTTGAAATGCCGGGTCGTGAGGGTGATCGCTCTGAAGGTTTGTGATGGTGGTGATGGGCTGAGACGATCCTACATAGAACTTCTCAGAAGATGATGTGAAAGAACTGTACTCGGCACCAGTGTCGTTGCTTGCAGATTCGTCTTGAGCAGAGAGAGCGGCTTCGTACTCTGATATGCGACTGAAAATCAAGTTAATCGCAAGCCGGTGTTGATCTATTCGTAGAATCTGTAAAATCGCAAAGAGAGGATCATAAGAGCATTGAGATGGTAGAACGTTCACGTGGGAGAAGTGCTTTACTCACTTGCTCTGCGATTTCCTTGCCGTTGGTACGACCGTACGCCGCTTTGAGGAGAGTGTGCACTCCCTCATTTGGCCGCGTGCTGTAGTTACGACTTGCGCCTTTGTTTCGAATATCTTCGAAGGCGTGCTTGAGGTAATGCGCTTTCGGGAAATCCCAATCGATTTTTATGTCGGGTATCTGCGATGTTTTTGCAAGTTCAATGTAGTCCTGTTGTTCAGCGCCGTGATGTAATAGTGAGCATCATCAGAGGATCGAGCTGAATATATTCTCAATCGAAGCTGACTCACATCGAGCACCTTGCTGAACCGCTCAAGTTCTGCTTCGCCGGCTGCAATTGTATCGTCCGTATGGACGTCAAGGCCGATGTAGCAGTCGAGTTCTAGATAGCTTCTGATGACCAGAAGCAACGCGTAGCCTTCAGGCGACGTCTTGGGTGTGAGGAGGTTTTGCGCCACGAATAGAACTTGCTGTAAGTCAAGTTCTGTTATACAATCAGAACATTACATATTTGAGAGGCTTACCTTTGACATATCGTGAAACTTGTTACCGTCAGAGAATGACGTATTGACCGCATGGGCGAAGTGGTTCAGGTCTCGCCATCTCGGCATTGCATCAAACCTGTTTTATTATTATAGTATGAACGAAGCAGACAATGTCTAAGGACTTACTGCTCGTCAAACTTCCCCATCGTTCCCTCGAACTTACTGCTTACGTGCTTTATTATCTTCTGTAGTTCAGGGAGTAAGTGTCGACCGAATAGTCCACCGTGATTAAAGTGCAAGCGGTCGAACGAGAGCGCGTCGTGAGGATCCGAGTACTGGATATCCCAGAACACATTCTGTGCTACCTCAATACTCAGTACGTCAGTTAAGAATGTTCTGAAACGCACCTCAGCTGGTCGCAAGCCGACTTTCTTCATAGCATCGTTACCAAGGCCCTTATTGGCCTTGTACTTGTCGTATAGATCACGCCCTTGCTTTGAAGTACGGTGTTCGTACTTTGTGTGGAAATCCCGTAGGTTCTCCTTCGGAGAAAGGCAGATGGGACACGGGCACTTGCCTTTAGGCCCGCGTATCAATGCCATCATGCATCTAATTGAAAATAAATAAAATAGTCAGTGGCTTCAGCGACAGAAAGGAGAGAGAAGACTTCACTGCTCCTCGTAGTCAGCAGAGAGAACAAATATGGCCGGGAATAGAACACGTTTTTGACCGTCAAAGCAGTCGTGCACCATCCCCGCGTTCGAATATGTCCCGATGTCTTCTATAAACGTTTTGAAGGACTTGTGCCAGACCACTCGCTTGAAGTTCGTGTATGACAACTTGCCTTCCTTCTCAGGATCGTCGCCGAGCTATCATTTTATCAACAGCTATAAGAGTATTGAACAGAAAGGTTCATGAATGTACACACCACGGGGAGCCAGCCAACAACGCGCGCGCCGCCGACGCCGTTTCCGTTACGAATTTTACTAGGCAAGTTCATACACCTTGCTATGACCGGGTACCCTTGGACGGTACCAAACGACGAAAGACGCGTTTTGTCCGCGTAAAGAAGGATCGAGAACGGCGCGGGAGTTGCGCCACTATGTTGATTAGGTAGTTTACTCTATACGCAGAAGAAACATGTAGCATCGAGCAATATAGACATAAGAATACGCACCTGTATACTCCACCATCTGTCAGCTGTCCACGGTTCATCATACATGCGGACGAATCGCTCTGAATCATCGTCTCGTCGATAGACTTTTTGTGCATCCCATTCGAAGTACGGCGCGAGGGACTTGTTCGCCAGAAGTTCCTTGGCCCATTCCCAGAGGTCTCGTTTGTGAACTTCGACGGGTATCTTCTGTTTCTTCCAGTCCACCGTTATCTTACATGTTTCGATCTGGGCCAGTGGTATGACAAATGCATGCGAATGAGATTGTCATTGAACACTATCTAAGCTAGTTGGTACATCATGCCGCTTACGGGGGTGAGCTCCAAGGCTGCCTGGTCGCATGTTTTGCACAGCTCGGCGTCGTTCTTGAAAGTTACGTCCGCATTACCTTTCGCCACCTTGCCAATGAGCGCCAGCAGGCGCTCAACGTTTGCCTGTGTGAGTTTTGCGTCTATCGCGATTGAGGCGAACTCGCAGTCACCTTTCGATTTGAATGGCTCCCATGGTTCCGACGCGTTGTTGTTGAGTGCCGGGAGCAGATGCACTGTGTTGCGGAATTTGTCCCATGCCTCGGTCTTCGAGGGGCGCTTGCTGTCGGGGTGAAAGTCTGTTTTGAAGTCCAGGTTACGAGATGAAGACGCGGGAGGGAGCGTCGTCGCTGTGTAAGCGACACTCTGCATACTGACGTCGGACTCGGAACCTTACAGACATGTAAGCTCCCTCGACGGAGGCAGAGACAGAGACACAGAAATATGAGAAAACGACGTACGAAGTCTAGCGTTGACCCCACTATCCTCAAACTCATCGAAGTCTTCTGTATATTCAGCGTGAACGAGCGTTGGCGCTATTTCGCCATGCTCCTGGTGCAGATCTGATGCCGCTCATATGAGTAGTGCCATCGATTGAAGGAGAGGACATACCATCATTTGAGCTATGTGCTCCTGCCAGGGCAGCCGGAGGCCCAGGAACGTAGGTAGATATCGAGGGTCCCCACAAACCCTGTTCTTCAGTTCCAACGAGCTTTGAGGAGCCTGGTACTGGCGCTCGTGCTGCAGACAAGCGATCGGTCCGTAGCTGAACCTCGCGAGCTGGTGCGATAGGGAGAATCGGTCAGAGGGAGTCAGAGAGACGAGCAGAGAACAAGGGACACAAGGAGACATCATATACTCATGTAAGGAGGTAGATACGGATTACTCACCTTCGCGCTGCAGAGCCGAGTGCCTGTCTGAGATGGCATTACGGCGCTGCATCTGCTGCTGACGCTCGCAACAGGTCTTTTCGTGCATGAGGAGCCCATTCGGATGCAGAAGCCGGCCGCATCCATTGCCGCATGGAACTTTGCCGTTGTTATTCGGCTTGGCTTGAGGTCTGTCCTTCTTGGTATTGGCGCGAGGCATGTTGTACAACAGAGAGTGACGTAGGTGAATACGGTATAAGGTATGGAACAAAGGGGGCGGGGTTGGGACCGGGGACGGGTGCGGAGAAAGCGATCGATGAATGTTGACGCGGGCGTCCGATCGAGGCACGTCGGATCAACTAGGATACCGGGGCAATGCGTGGGAACAGGCGCGAGTCAGCGAAAGAATGCATCGAGAACGAGGACGAGGACTTGCCGAACCAATCGGATGGAGTTGCAACACCGGTCTACGCTAGTGGCCGCACGCGGATTCATGTGCCTACGTTTTAATGCGTGTAGATCTCACCTGTCCGTTCGGACAGCGCTTCCGGGGCAACCCGGCATTTGAATTCCGTCCGAATGATATTCATATGGCATTCGGTTAACATAGTAACTTGCTTGTCTGACTTTCGTGGGAACGGTCGTTTCCACTTTTCCGACATTGCTGTTGGTGGCCGCGCCAGTGACTGGTGAAAATTGTATGCCGTGACTTCAGACTCAACTCGCGTCCAAAGTTATGGAAAATATGCCTCGTCCACAGTTCATGGCCATAGAGAGCCTGAGCGCCATGATTTGATACTTATACCTCATTAATTCATTGGCCGGTTTGAAAAAATCCGCGGTAACGGGCTTTGCCGTGCACTGGAGCGCGGTGTTACCCAATAATTTCCACTGTGCAGCCGGCGGCGAGTACGTCTTTTCTCTAATGCATGATGGAGTCAAACTCATTGTGTCTGAAACCACTCACCATGATAGTCTCTCCAACAGAGCAAGATTCGCTCCATACAACAGGACATCGATGATCCCTCCAACGACAAGAACATCTTTCCAGACAAAAACCTTGATATCGTGAGCAAGTGCTCCTGGGAACCGTCACAGTGTTTTGACGCGGAGAAGAATCTATTTGGAGCACGTGGAAAGGAGTTTGGCTTCACCAAGCATCACTACTCGTCTATAGTCCACCACAAGGTAGATCTTCTTGCCACTAACCACCTCTTCCTAGAGTTTGCTACGCCCTGGAAGGTACTGTACTTTTACGACCGTTCGCTCGTGGGAGAATGACTTCCTAATCCGGATGTCCCGCTTTCTGGCTCGCGGGTTGGGATCAATGCGGGACACTTGGCTCGTCAGGGGTTAATTATTTCGAATGTCGCGGGACACGTCGCGTTCGCCGTTCGGCGTCGGACATACCTGGTCTCTATTCCCCGGCTGACAAGGTAACTCAGGGAAATCATAGCTTGATGAAGTCTCCTCGCGCGCGCTACACATTACTGACAGTTCTTTGTTTGTAGGTTTGTGAGCCATGTGTCAACAGGATTGGCCTCCAGTCTTTACTGGCGGGCAGCACTTCCGCCTCACGACGCGCATCTGTCGATGCTCAGCCCTGCAGCAGCTAAGGTGAGCTTTCGGTCAAGCTTTTGTTTCATCCCTGGATTTCTGAAACTCTAGCACCACGTTCATGTGTCACCTCCACGAAAATCGCGCTCAAACCGTATGGGATGCTCGCAGTCAAGTCATGGCGTGTTGATGCAGATGTATAAAGAGAGACATTTTTTGCTGTAGAATGACTGGCAGTGCGTCTTTTTCCCCTCTTTCATGCCTCCTCCTCGTCTCATCCAGGAGCCAGGGAACCAAAGGGGGAAGCGTCGTAAGGTATCTAACAAGAAGTTCGACGACTTTCTGGGTCATTAGATCACTTGTAATTGCTCTAGATTTTTTTTTCGAATTTATTCGTATTTTTACGCTATTTTTACCACTTGTCCCGCTTTTTGGCTCGTGAGTCCTCAAAGAGGTGGGACAGTCCCGCCTAAATGGCTCGCTCGCTCAACCCGTGGGACATGGGACGAGCGAACAGTTGTAAAAGTACAGTATTTGATGGCGATGTGAACGAGTCTTTTTCACCAGAACACCGAACACTACAACAGCACGTTTCCAGCTTTGCCGGATGCTCTCTTGTTATGGCTGAGTCACCTCAACAGCTTTTCACTGCTATTGCTCATGCAATGTTGAGTACGAGTCATTGTTTTCCAGAAGCAAAGTAGCTGCCTTGCTCATTATTATCTGGCCATCTCTAGGGTATTGGAGCATGCTGTGCAAGGGCTTTCAGCACCGTGATATCAACATCGGTAATGTGCTTC